ACTTTATTTGGAAATAGGGTATTTGTAGATATCATTAGTTAAGGTGAAGGCATGCTGGACTAAGCTGGGACCCCAGTCCAAAAACTACTGCCTTTAGAAAAAGACCATGTGAAGGGGGCCCTGCCTGGTAGCGCAGCAGGTTAAAGTGCAGCACTATGAAGCTATCACAGCCACTGCAGCATGAGTTCAACCCCTAACCAGGGAGGTGACCCACATGGCACAGCAGACCTCTCCTGACCTGCTCTCCGCCCCCCTCAGCAGTGTATTTCAGTCAATCTGCCTATTGTGCTCCCTACTCTATCTCTGTGAAACCTCTCACCTCCTGCACCTCTGGCCTGTACCCCAGTTCTATATGTATAAATAAATAAATCTTAAAAAAAAAAAAAAAGTCCAAGTGAAGAGAGACACACAGACACAGAGGAAAGGTTCAGCAACTGTGGAACCAGAGTGATGCAGCTACTCGCCAAGGAGTGCGGAGGTGTGTGGGCCATACCTAAAGATAGAGGTGGCAAAGGTGTCTTCCCTGGCAACTTCAGATGGAGTGCTGCCCTGCTGTCCAATTAATTTCAGATTTCTAGCTTCTAGGACTAGAAGTGAGCGAATATATTTCTTTTGTTTTAAGCCACCAAGTGTGGTAATTTTTTCTAGCTACAGAAAATGTATACAACTACCTATTTGTTGATGTTTGTACACCCCAGAGTTAGTCGATCTAGGGGATTCAAATTCAGGCCCTGAGCCTAGACCTTCAGCCTCTGTGCTCTATTGCCTCTTCCTGCCCTACGGCAATTCCCATCTCTACAGAAGCTGACAACCTGTCCCTATAGAGTTAGCTGCAGGGGAAACTCTACAGAGCTCACACAGAGCTTCCTTTTTCCATCAGCTTTCTTCTTCCTAGTGAGTTCTGAAACCATCCTGAGTCTTTCCATTCAGTGCTGCCAGGCAGGCCGTTTTACCTGGCACCTTGTCATCAGCCCTGGGCCGGCCTTCCTCCTCCAGGGCTTGGATGAGAAATGGCCCAGAGGGAGGCCCCAGCCCAGCTCCAGCTGCAGCCTTTCACCTCACTACAGGGTCACCTAGCCCTTGGTTGCCTGTCTCCTGGCATGCCCCAGTTAGGGTCTAGACTCGTGCCCCCCACAAGATCTCTGCGGTGTTCCCCATCCACACACCTGATCCTCTGGCCCCCCAACTCCCCACCTTTCTGGCTTCCCAAGGGTAGCAGAACTAACCTGAGAGGCCAGGTACACACCACTGAGACTGAGGACAATACCACAGCGCCCTGACTATAGGATCGCCATAAACATCTCGACTGCCCTGCACAACTCCAGGGAGGATGCAAGAAAATTTTTAACTAAGTACACTCAGAGGTTAGTGAGAGAGAATGAAACCCCTATTCCTGAGGGGCCAGGTCTGTCTCTGGGGGCTTCTGCCCAAACCAGGTTAAGTCAGACAGACCCCAAGAGCCAGCTCAAACCCCGATAAGAGACTAACAGAGTCTCATCCAGGGATCCCGACCCTTCCTCCTTTCCTGGAAAAATGTCCTCTAGGAATCTCTCAGCCAGCCAGGAACACAGAGAGCAGGGTGGTGGGTGAGGGGCAGTTTCTCTATTTTCCACAGGATCCTAAAGTCTGGGTACCTCCCCCATGCCACAGTCTAGTTGTCTCCTTCCTAACACCCAGCCTCAGCCCTCCATCCTCCCAATACACTTACACACACACACACACACACACACACACAGAGTCTTCTCACATTCAAGGGGACAATGTCCAGGCCTGGCCCAGCGTCTGGAAGGATATGATCAGGTTCTGGGAGCCATCCCAGCTCTGACTCCAGCTCTGAGGGTGTGGGGGAGGAGAAAGAGGGTCTTACCAGGCTTGCAGCTCTGGACTGGGGGTTGAAAGGTCCCCTGGGCACTGGGGCTGCTGCTTAAGTCTCTAATCCCTTCTCTGGCCCCTTCCCTACCACGTCAGTTCAGCGACAGCTCCTTGGCCCTGGGGCAAGGCAGTCTGGGCAGTCATGCAGGTTTGCCAGGGAGGAAACCTGCAGTGCCAAGGTGGCCCCAGGACAATGTTGTCTATAGAGACGGGAGGGGAGGTCGCTGGGTCCAGCTGGCAGATGCGAGGAGAGAAGGGGGCCTCAGGAACAAGCCCGATAATGGGGCTCCACAGACTATGACAGAAGTTTGGTAGGTGGTCAAAGAAGGACACAAAAAACCCCCTTTGCTATTTCTCAGGGGCTCAGCCTCAGGGTGTCACAGCTTAGTAACCTGCACCCGACAACTCCTGGAGAAGTAGTGCTTTACCCAAAGGAGAGAGCCTGACTCTGCCCTCACCTACCACTTACCTTCCATCCAGCAGTCACCCCTCACACCCCACACACCCGTTCTGTGCTCACCCCTCTTACACCCTCGAAGACTGCACCCACCCTCCTTGCTATGGGAGACAGAAACCCAAGACTAGTCTCCAAATACCACCTACCTGGAGTGTGAGGGACCCAGATTCAGGCAGGGGGTTACTATGGGGGACAGCAGACTTCCAACAAAGACTGATGAGGACAGCCCGGGGGACATTCCCTGGGTCGTCCCCAGTTCAAGCGTGGTCCCTAGAGGACCCAGAGCTCACTCTTCTCATCCCGAAGGAAGATCTAATCTAAGGGCAGGTGTGGCAGACGTACAGCCAACCTGCCCGAGCAGGGCTTAAAGGTTAACTAGAACTCCTCAGCTTCTTTATCAACCAGGTCCGGGTCAGAGGGGACATTCCACCTAACCTGCCCATGCCTGGCCCTCCACCAGTCAAGTTGGGAGGGGCAGTAGACATCTGTCAGTGCTGAATGTCCTGCAAACTGAAAGGGTCAGTGCTACTACAGCATTAGCTCTCTGCGGGGAGCTTTCTGACAGCAGGTGTTGGCACTGCAGCAGTGGACATAGGAACCTCCAGCCCCTCTGTGATGACTCCAAGTCCAGTGCTCTTGTTCTGCCAAAGCGACAGTTGCACGGTCAGCACGAAGGCCAAAGGGTTTACAGGCGCCAAGCGCCACCCGGCCCTGGCCAGCCTCAGCGCTTTTCCTTGCGGCTCAAGGACTTCGCGACAGAGCTCCAGCTCTAACGTGGGTGGGAACCTCTTCCAGCGAGAGCCCCCCCAAATCCACATCTTGAAAGCCTTCCAACAGGGAGCCCCCTCCCAGAGCCCGGCGTGGGCAGGGGCGCCCGCGATCCCCACCCCGCGCCTCCCAGGCCGGA